GGAGGAGGAAGTGCTAAAATGCAGGAAGAATAATACCGAAACATGGATGGGCAAGGAAATGAAGCACTGAGAAATATGAAAAGGAGTGAAGGTGCAAAATAAACTGTGAGCAATACCGATCTACATCTACCGATTGCAACAGAGAAATAGAGAAAGAGCCTGGAACCTGTGGCCCTCCGGATGTTGTCTGACTCCAGTTCCCATCAGCACCAGCAAGCAAGGCTTATGGGTGTGACCAGGATTTATTTTAGGGGAGCAGGCTTTATATTGGGGGGACAGAACCGAGTTAACTGCAATGCAATTAGTCAATTAGTTAAGTATTTTTATTTATTTACTTGATTGGGGGGGCAGCTGTCCCCTGCACCCCCCTGGCTACGCCCATGGCAAGACTAATGGTCAGACATGATGGGAACTATAATTCCCCAATCCTGCTCTGTAATCATCTCTTATCTTCTTCCACCCCATCCATCCGTGGAAAACCAGGTTGTTATTTTTCTTACAAAGGGAATCTCTAGCTGCTGGCATGAGATGTGTTACACTGAATCAGACCTCATTAACCAAATAGAAATTGAGGCCATCTTGCAAAAAATGTAGATAAGGTTAACCCCGCGCTTCTTTGATTTCCAAAAAAACCTTTGGTGGGGTCCCCTCAGAAAAGTTTCCCAAAAACCTTAACAGTCACAGGATAAAGTGGAATGTCTTTTTCTGGATCACTCAACTGGATAAATAAAGGAATGAGAATGAATTTATGGGCTGTTATCTCAGTGAAAAGAGGTGTACAATGAGGTGTCTCCAAGGATCTGCATGGGAACTTGCTCTTGCTAAGTATTCATTAACAACCTGGAAAAAGGTGTGAACAGATCTGCATATAATGACAAATAATTAAAAGTAGTTTAATCATAAGCACACTGTGAAGAGTTTCAGCAGGTTCCCCTAGCACTACAGGGATGCACAACAAAATGGCAAATAAATTTCAGTGATGGTAGATGCTGAGTTACACATACATTAAGGAAAAGTAACACCCAACAAGGTTGCGCACAGGATCAAATTAGCTATTGCTATTCATTTAAGCGATCCTTAAACTGCTACAGAGAGCTTTCTGAAAATGGCAGCACTGATGTGCTACAGTCACCAAAAAGACAAACAGAATGTGATGAATTATTTTTTTAAAAAATATGGTACTGCACTTTTTAAGCAGTCCTGGCTATATTACATAGAGAAAGCTAGAAAAGACAAACAGGAGCAACAAAGGTTACCAGGAATAGGATTCCTTTTATGCAAAGTAAAGCAATAAAAATATTTTTAAAAAAAGCTTCAACCTAAAAAATGGGATCCCAAATAAGGGATAAATAATATATGCAAAATCACAAGAGGACAGACAGAGGTAAATAAGAGGTTTTCTGCTCTTTCAACAAGACACAGCAGAAACAAGAGTAAATATTTTTCTCACGGTTCACATTGGACTCTCTGCCAGCAGTATAATTTAATCCAAGAACTAGGTAATTTGATGGAAGACAGATATAGGAAGTTCAAATTCAGGGTGTCCCTAGCATTATGCTTCCAAGATTACAAGCAAAAGGAATTCACTACTCTGTTGTAACCCCATGCAATTATAAATGAACTGAAGCATTCAAATCTGGCAGGGGCAGGCATTGGGTTAAACATACATCTCATCTGATAGAGTATGGCTCTTTATATATTCTTAGGACTTTCCTGTATCCTTCCCCTCTCTTCATCCAGCTCAAGAATGGAAGGTAATTCAACATGTGCTCGGGATGCTCCAGGTGGTGGTGTTGTTGTTGGTGGGTGGGTGTGTGGTTTTTTTTGGGGGGGGGGTAAACAGAATGAAGAATCTGAAGATCAAGGTAAGCTCCAAATTATTCATTTTACAAAATGGGAACTAAGTGCACATGTTTCTATATGATACAATGGTGAGGCAATAGAAGGAGGTGCAAGCAAGGGGCAGAAAGCAGGTTTCATCATTCAATTGTCTTTTTTCCTAGTCCAGACTAGTTCTTACACACTGTTCAGCTTTTACAAGCTACGTCTTCCTTGGAATAGAGGGGAGAGGAATAAAGACAGCAGGTCAATTATCAGCCAAGACTGCAGTGTGATCTCTTTTCTGGAGGGAGCTTTGGGGAAATGGAAGCCCAAGTGTTTCCACTAGAAACACAAACCAGCTGCTGAGCAACCTGCTTCTTCCATCCCCCACTGGACAAGCAAAACCAAGCCTCTAATTCCTATATCACATTTTGTTGAGATTTTTAATAAACATATTCATTTGCAAACTAAAAAACCTGACCTGGTCTTTGCTACAGCCAAGAGCGGGATGGGGGATACACTACACAGAAGTTTCACTCTATGGATTTACAGACTTGTAATTCCCAAATGCCAGCCCTCCCCGTCATTCCCTTCCACGAATTTGCCAATGCTACCCATTCTAATGCCCCGTTATATTTGCTACACTAGCCTTGCATGGTACTCTCCCCAGTTCTGCCAATGCCCAGTAACTCTGATACAAATCTTTACATTCTATGCTGGCAATGCATTCCATTTCCACCCTTGCTCCAGCATTATCTGGTAAATCATAGTTTTCCCTGCACAAAGATAGCACACTGTCATTTTTCAAAATGGCACAAATATAATTTTGCCATGAATATTGTCACACCATCTTCAAATGTGATGGGGTACACAACCGAGCATAAACTGTTTTCCTGCAGAGATATTATCTCCATTTAGGAAAAACAGGAAGCTGCCTTCTTACAGAAAGGGCAGTCATCCATCTAGCTCAGTATTGTCAATATTCAGTGGCAGCAATTCTCTGGGGCTTTCAGGTGGAGTTTTTCCCCCAGCTCTATTTGGAGATGCAAAGGGTTGAACCCAAGACCTTTCACATAGAAAAGCATGTGCTCTTTCGCTAAGGTACTGCCCTTTTTTCGCTATCATGTGTAACAGTGCCCTAATTACACATATTCCATTTACCATCCTCAATCAGCAGCAGGCCCTACAATGCTGTTGGGACTCCAGTTGAGTCCTGCCCACATTCTAGACCCATGTTCTACCTGTCATAAAGTCCTTCAGCCCCAACCCCATAGCTCCTTATTCCAGCACTTAGTTCCCTATCTCCCATCTCCCATTCCACAGCATCTAATTACCAGTCTCCTCCTCCATAACCACTCCCCTGCCTGTGCTCCTGCAACCTCAAATTACAGCTCTGGTCTGCCACCCCACATAGATAGTGCTGTTGGCACCTGAATCTATGCCCTGTGCTTAGTTCAGCCAGTAGCATCAGTTGCAGTCAATGCAAAGGGTGTGGTAGTTTTGCAAGATATAGGCAGCATTTGAAGGCAATTCAAACAATCCTAAGTTTCTAAAAGCGCCAACCTACTGCCCATCATTCCCGACTTTCTGTTCCTAAATGCAGAAGCTTCTGTTTGAATTATCTTCCTGCTGTTCAGTTACAGAAGCATTTACAAGGCAAGAGAGGAACAGGGAATTTTATATTCCGTAGTGATTGATCATTACGAGCTGAGCCGTTGCATGGAAACCAAATTGTTGGTGCTTAGGAGGTGCTGCTATGTATTCCCTTACGCTTAAGCCTATGACATCTGCAAAGCAGCCATTCCTGGGCGGGTGTCTCGAATAGAGAGATTCCAGGTGGAGTAGAGCAAGAGCAGAACTGAAGCGCTAGCAACTGCTGCTCCTATGCAGATCTCCCTAGTAACCAAACAGGGTCTACTCCTCTCTGTCTGTTCTGGAGGAACTGACACATCCTTCCTTCCTCACTGCCATGTACCCCACTGTCATGTTGCAGGTTTTCATTTCAGCTGCAGCTGGCACGGGAGCTGTGTTAGCGACCACTCCCCTCTTTCACCAACAGCAACCAGAAGGCAATGACGGCTCATTCTGTGCCCTGTGTGCACACCCCCTTATGGGAAATGCAGACACAGCCTGCAATCCAGCTGTTTTGCAGCATCTCACAGTCCTTGCTGCCTCAGCTCCATGGATGACAGCCCATGTTGCAGTCACAATTTCTGCTTCTCTCTCTCACGCACACATACCTCCTTCACAGGTTTGCCATAAGGATGCTCGCATGGCATAGCTGCATATGCAGCAATAGACCTTTTCGACTGTTCCTCCCTAATATAGTAAAGGGGGTGCCATCCATTTTAACACCAATTACGGCATCCTCATGCAGTCTCCATCTCCACTCATTGCTGCTGAACCCCCAGGTCTGGGTTCGTTCTATTCTTACAGCTCTCCCTTGCTAACTAAATCTACTTTGCTTCATCAGCTAAAATGCAATAATAATAATAATAATAATAATAATAATAATAATAATGTTTCTCTTTCCCTTGCTTTCCCTTAACCTGGGTGTCTTGAGCAAACGAAAAATGAAAAAAGAACCAGAATAAAATTTATCTTCCCTCCTGCCCACTTCTGCTACCTGTTTCACCTTTGCACAGAAAACTGGGGGATTTTAACTAACATTTATTAGTATGCTGGCTCAATTAGGTTTGAGATGCCTCTTTTGGAGGGAGCCTGGAGGGTTTTTCTGGGTGGAGGGCAGGGATGATGTGAAAGACAGCCTATTTGCTATACTCAAGGGATAAACCAAAAATAAATGAATGAATTAAGAAGGCGATAGGAAAGCCTCCCGGAGTGCTTACAGTTATAAAATAAGAAGGCTGAAGTGGTCTACTTTGGAGCCGAACTTGATTACTCCTCACACTTAAAAATCCCCTTGCACCCTACAAGGCAAGGCAGTCAAACGCTACAACGCATCCCTCTGCAAAGAGAGCAGGAAAGCCTGCGGAGGGTCACCCTCCAATCCATGCAGGCACCCCAAAACCAAGAGCGCCGGCTGACACCTGTCCTCTGGGGAGGGGACGCTCACTCCTCCTCCCACCCAAGTCTCCCCAATAACCTTCACCGAGCAAGGCAGCTTTCCATCCATCCATGGGAAGGGAAGGAGGGAGGGACTGCAGAGACGGACTCACCGAGCATCTGGCTGAAGAGCAGCTGCTCCAGATCGCCCAGCACGGTGACCACCAGCTCGGGATCCACCTTCAGGAAAGCCTTCTCCTCCGCCGGCGCCCCTTTCCCGGCCGGCTGGGTGGCCGCTTGCTGCTGCTGCTTCTGTTGCTGCGCCGCCTTGCCTTTGCTGGAGAGGATCTCGTCGTCCGACTTGAGGTCGTCGCTGCCGCTGCCGGCCTCGGGCGCCTTGCTGAGGGGCTTGACCTCGGCGTAGGGCCCTCGCGGGATGCGGCTGGGCTTGCCCAGGTTGGAGGGCAGCGGCGCCAGCGGCGGCGGAGGCTTGTTGCCGGCGGCCGGGGGCGCCAGCTTGGCCTGGAAGAGCGAGTGCTCGGAGCGCGAGAGGTTCTTGGACATGAGCGGCGGCGCCTCCTTGCCGCCTTTGAGGCTCCGGCCGCCGAAGCCCTTGGCCGCCTTGGCCATGTCGTCGCTCCACTTGGGCTCGTACAGCTGCATCTTCTTCTCGCTGTCCGTCAGGAAGGACAGGTTGGTGAGCGACTTCTGCTTGCGCAGGTTCGAGGCCAGCGGCCCTCGGCCCTCCACGCTGCCGGCCTTGAAGACCTTCAGCTCGGCCGGCGCCTTGGGCGCCGCCACGCCGCCGGGGCCCTTGGCGCTGCCGCGCTTCTGCATCATGGCCTTGTTGCTGCCGTCGCCCGACGACGACGCCTGCTTCTTGTAGCCCCTCAGCGCCTCCTCGGGCCCTTCGTCGCCGCTCAGCTCCGCGTCGCGCTGCAGCCTCCTGACGTCGTTGCTGTTGCCGCCGCCGCCGCCGCTGCCAAGCATCTTCTTCCCGCCCGCCGCGAGGAAACCATTTAAAAGCCCAGCCTCTGAAGCAACGGAGGGAGAAGAAAGAATGAAAGAAGGAGGAGAGGAGGAAAACGGGAAGGTCGGAGGAGGGGAGGGAGGGGAGAAAGAGAGAGAGAGAGAAAAGGGGTGGGGGGAGAAGGGAGGAGGAGGAGGAGGTGGGATAAAACAGGGAAAAAAGAGAGACACACGCTATCAAAGCAGCCGGTGCCACCTTCCCCGCCCCGGCGCGCGCGCGCTCACAGAAGCGCAGAGCGCCCGGCCCCTCCTATCTCCTCCAGCGCCGCTGGGGAAACTGAGGGGGGAAGCGAAGCGAGAGGCAAGGCGAACAAAAAAAACGGGCCCTCCCTGCCCGCCTGCGAGATGCTGCCGGCTCGGCAGAGAAAGGGAGTGGAGTGGGGGCGCGAGACGCGCGCGAGGCTATTTCTGGCTCGGGAGGAGGCGTGTGTAATTGTGCGTGAGGGTGTGTGTGCGCGTGTGGACATCGGCGAATTTAGTACGCGTGCGCGCGCACTCGCGGAGCCTTGCCTGCCTCCGCGCTTGAGAGGCGCCGAGGGAGAGCAGGGCGCTTTCGACAGCGGAAGGCAGGCATAGGCGGGGAAGGGGGAGACGTCGTGGCAAGGCACTCCAGCAGCCAGCCCCCACAGGGGGGGGGAGAGTCATCTGACAGACCCCCCTGGGCACAGGAGCCAACTCCTTGGGGCTGAGATCCCTTTGCCCCGCCCCATAAAATATTGGGGGGACCGCCCCCCAAAAGTCGATAGGCATTGCCATTCAAATTGTGTGCGTGCACCGCGTCATGTGATTATGCGGGGTGGGGCTTATCGTCCCAATATTTTATTCAAGTTGGCACCCCTAACCCTGGGGCCATTTTTGGCCCACCAGAGATCCATGCATGGGAATCTCCTGTCCTGTCCTCCTCCCCGAGAGCCCCAGAAGCAGAGGCATTAGGCGGAGTGAAGCAGTTGCCTCAGGCTGAGGATGCTAAGAGAGTGAGTGGGAGTTGGGCCAGCCCCCCTCCTGCTCCCCTTGAGACTCCTAATCTAGCTCATCTTGGTCCTCATGTCCTGCGATGGAAGCTGCCTTTGTTGCCAGAATTGAGGAACAAAATTGGTTGCCAGTTCAGTTGTATGGGGAATGGGGGCAACAGCTTGTCCAGCAAAACGTATTTGGCATAAAAGGGTACTGAAAAGGTTCCCATTTTCAAGACTGCAGCCCCTTCTGTTCTGGAACCCATTCTCCCGAAAACTCACCACCTGGGAGTGACTAGTGCTGAAGACAAAGCAATCTACACATGCTTAAGTGCACTGCTTGGTCATGCAAGTACAAACCTTGGCATTGAAAGTAGGAAAGCCCTGTTGAGCCTTGACTTAGGTTTTCTTTGGGGTGCCCATCAGGCTTTGCATGCAAATCAGTTCTTTCCTTCCCTTGCAATTACACAGGAATCACTTCCTATTACAAAATGCACCATATACTGGACAAGGCCCAAGACATGGTGTGAATGTGTTGGATATACCACAGCCAATTAGTTTCCCAGCATGCATACACATAGCAATATACACACATATTCATCACTTGACACGATGACACCACAAAAGAGAATCTTGCCATTTCTTATTCTGAAGAAGCTTCCATGTATGAATTCAGCAGAGCATGAAACAGCCTTCCTTGTCCCATGTCACCATGGAAAAGGTTCAAAGGCTACTCAGAAAGGGTCAGTGGCAAGCCCAGAAAAAGAATTCAGGAATCTGAGCTCCCACTGCTTAGCACTGACAGAAGAACAGCCCTTGCCCGTGCAGAAAGATTATCAGCTTTCACATATAGAACAGATAGTGGTATCAGGCTGCTGTCTCTGTGCAGTGATCCAAACCAAACCCATTTCCACAAGAGGCTGATATTAATAATTCCTGCTACCACATCTATGTGTGGCACTAGCCAAGGCAGCACATAACAAACCTGCCGCTTTCAGTTCCATGCTCCAATATGAAACACAAACTATAACACACACAAGAAAAAAGAGGGTGCAACACTGCAAACACATGAAAACATGGAAGTGTGCTAGCTACACTGAACTTGCAGTTTGCAGGGATCTGTTGTGCTGAAACTAGCTTATTTATTATACAGTTTGTATCCCACTCTTCCACTGCCTAAGCGGGGGTGGGGGACTTGTGGTACTTCAGAGGCTGTTTAACTACAACTTCCATAATCCCTGAATGCTGGTCAGGACTTAATGAGACTGGCCTGAAGGATGCTCCAGGCACCTAACCTTAATTTTAAAACAATTCGTAAAACAGGTCCGAAAAAGTGCAAACCAAGCAGCACATATTTAAAATACAATAAAGATGGAGCAGGAACCTGCCAAAACAAAACAAAAACTTTAGCTGGCAACAAAAGACCAACTAAGTAGGGGCTAGAATCTCTCATAGCAGAGAGTTATATGCCCTGGTGCAACAACAGAAAAGGCTCTCTCTTACATTCTCATCAGCCATACTAGAGGCTGGGAAGAAAGCATTATTTAGGCACCCTGCTCCCAAACTGTCTAGGCTGTTAAAGATAACGGACACTTTGAGCTATGCTCAGAAATGAACCTGTAGTCAGTGAACGTGCTCCAAATATCCAGCAATAATCAGGAGGGTTTTTTAGGTCTCGTGGACATCCCCCAGCCTCCTCCAACTTACAGTGAGAACTAGTGTAGCCTAGTGCCAAAGAGAATTAACCATGAGCCATGAAATCCCCAGTTCAAATATTGCCTATGTCATTGGTTCTAGGTAAGGTATTTTCTTTCCAATGGGATAATAATGCTGTTGACCTCCCTTTTGTTGTTAAGGATTACTGAGATAATGTGTGTGGAGTACTTTGACTGCTATAGCACTATTAGTAGTGCTATAGTATTACTAGCAACTGATGTTAGGTGTTTCAGCATTATTTAGTATTATGAGCCCTCAGACCACAGAGCTCTTTGCTTTCTTCACTGCTTGTACTAACATTCTGCTCCAAAGATACGTAAGACAACAAAGAACATTGTAGCACCCCTAAATGTATTATGGCATAAATGCTTGTGGACTAACATCTACTTTGTCAGATTCAACTTGTCAGTTGAACCTGACGATTGCAGTGGAATGTCTTTACAAATCAAAATTCAAAGGATTGCAGTTTCATTGTAAATTATAGTACTACTGAGCTGAGAACACAAAGATCCCTGAGTAGCAGGATTAAGACCATACATTTGTGGGCCAGTCTCTAAGAATAGTTCTGTGTGTCCAACCATAACTAGCCCAGCCTGGTGGAAAAAGAAGTTCTAGTGCAGAGAGCAATCTATTCTGAGAAAATCACCAGTATGTTTTAATGAATATTTTCAATTTTTATTTTAAGCCACTTAGAGGTGTTGGGTGGTTGTTGTTTTTATTAAATGATATAGAAATCTGTTAAATAAATACTTTCAGGGATCCTAAAGTGAAGAAATAGTGTGTATCTTGTGGCCTAAAGCCAGGTAAGACTCAGCCAGTCTACTCACGGTAGGTGCCACAGACATCCATAAAGCAAACTGCTCTGAGAGGAAGTAGCCACTCAGTCCTGAGTCACCACAGCATTGCTGGTCAGCCGAAACCAGTCCTCAAATTCCCAACCACTTAAGATAAAATAGGGCAGGCCCTGTTATCTCAGCAGGGAATAGACAGTGACTTGGAGATGTTAATGTCTCATCCATGTTATTCAGACTATGTGGGCTGGTGCTGGGGTTTGACTTGAGCTATAGCTATTCAGAAAGAGAACTTTGCCTTCAGGACATGTGCAATATGAGGAGGAGAGATGGCTTATCATAGAGTGAGCAGGAACCTAAAGAATCTGAAGACACTGTTCTGTAGAGCTGCAGCATGAAACTCCTTTCTCACACGTAAGATCAGATGACCATGTATATAACTCAGTTGTTATGATTAACATTTCTCTTTGTTTCTCTGTCCCATGCTTTACAAGTGCTTCTACATTCCTGATATGTTCAAGCAAAAAAGAAACCCCACAAAACCTCTATTTTTTGCCAACTCTGATTGAAGAAAATGCTCCAGCAGGTATAATTTTGCATTGTGAATCATAGTACTATAATGACTACAGGAAATAGACAACTTTTTTTTGTAGGAAAAAGGTAGTGTATTCTGAAAGTAATAATAATAAAATGAGCATCTGTAACTATGTACAGGCCTGGATGGACACCCAACAAATATAAAATGTCTCAAAAATAAGGAGCTGATGCTAGCATCAGTCCTGTAGGTCCTTTTGTGCCCATGCCAACCCAGGTACTAAACGTTCCCTATTTGTTGATACCCCTATCATCTGCCATGTTCTGTGTGATCATTTGTGGCTCCCTAAACTGTTATCCTCAGCACAGTTTCCACACCACTAAATAATGGAAACATTTAATCAGCTGACATCAATGTGTCTAAGGTGGTCCATGGGGGTGGAGAGGTAAAGATCTAACCAAAAAATTTCCCCACGCTTGCCTTATAAACCATTGTCACAAGTTCCCACCACCTACTTATTCTACTGACTAATGCAAGATAGAAACAGAGTCCCACCTACAAAAGTTCCAGAATTGGTGCAGGATATCTGTGAACAGCAACTCCTGCATGTTTCCTCACCCAACACTAAAAGCAGCAATCGGGTGGGAGTGGATCAAGGCCACAGTAATAGCAGAGGAGCTAACCTTTGTCCTCCACTCAATTTTCTTGATTTAAATTGCATCCCTCATAAGCTTGCATAGGCGGGGAGGGGGGAGGAACTGGTGCAGTAAGAAATAGTTAAGCACCCTGCCCTTGGGATAGCTGATATAAGCTTAAGACAACAAACAAACAAAGCAGATCTCTCAGATCACAACTAGTTGGTTCAAAAGTAGACCAATCTTTGTCCTTTTGCTGCCAAAAATACAGCTGTTTTTCTCAAATTAGTTTCTTTGTGCTTAGGACCACAGACTAATGGCCCAGTCCTATGCGCTGATACTGAGGGAGATGCGATCATGAAGATTCTATCCCCG